GCTGGCAGCCGAGCACCCCCAGCCCCGGTCCCAGTGGCTCCGGCCTGGCTCGGCTCGGGCCCCGGTTCCGGTTGAGCGGCCAAGCACCCTCAGCCCCGGTCCCAGCGGCTCCAGCCCGGACCCAAGCCCCAGGACCCCTCCCTATTTTCCCAGACATGTCCGGCTTTTTGGAATTTCCTCCCGGACGCGGATTTGAGGACCATAAAACCGGACATGTCTGGGAAAATCCGGACGTATGGTAAACCTAAATTTACACCCGCTGAGATTCTGGCCCTCTAGAATTATTGGAAGCAAAACCCACTTATATTATTACAAACAGCTCTACTCTGAGCCCAATTCGCCTCTCGCCCCGGGGTAGGCACGGGGTTACCCTGGCTTTACTCCAGTGTAAGGGAGAGGAGAATTAGAGTCACTGAACCCGCTTTGCTTCAAAATATGGGGCTGAGTGGCCACTACCTTCCAAGCTGATGCCAGGTAATTCCGCTGGAACCCCAGAGTTGTGCTGGAGTAACAGAGCGGCAAGTCAGCCCCCGTTATTTAGCACCTGGGCATCAAGGTCAGCACAGGGAGGGGCAGAACACGGTTCCCCCACCCCAGTGGGGCTCAGCCCTGACCTGGAGGGCCCACCCATGGAACAGGTAGGGGGTTCAGTCTCAATAAGCCATTCAGTGCTTGGTTCAGCCGCCAACCAGGAGCCAGGTACTGTTAACTAGTGACAATGGGTTTTGTGGGTTCAATACCTGAGCCCTAGGAAATGGTCTGAACAAACTCATTCCACACAAGCTATGAACACCAGCACTTGGACTCAGCTAGAGTCGGTGACCTACCTGTGAAAGGTTCCATTTCCCCGTTACCAACCGCACAAGCCACAGAAGGCCCCCACATATTGCATAAGCCATTGGCCATGGAGCCGGGGGTGGGAACAGCACTGGGGCCACAGCCTGACTACTTTTTGGCTGGGCCAAACCTGAGGATTGCTGTGACCCCAGGAGTCAGGTTCCAACATGATCAAAAACTGTACACCTTGTTTCCCGTCTGAATGTGTCTCACTTCAACTTCCAGCCATGGGACCATGTTAGACCATTCTCTGCTAGAGTGGAGAGCCCATTAGTAAATACTGGTTTCCCATGTAGCTACTTATAGACTGTGATCAAGTCACCCCTGAACCGTCTCTTTGGGTACATCTACACTGCAATAAAAGACCCGGGGCATGGCCACAACTGCCCCAGGTCAGCTCACTTGGGCTTGGGGGGCTCTGGCTGCAGGGCTAAAAATTGTCATGTAGACGCTTGGGCTCGGTCTGGAGCCCAGCCTCTGAGACCCCATGAGTGGGGAGGGTCTCAGAGCCAAGGCTTTTTACTGACCCTTCTCCAGTTTATCAACATCTGCCTTGAACTGTGGGCACCAGAACTGGACACAGGATTCCAGCAGTGGTCACACCAGTGCCAAATACAGAGATAAAATAACCTCTCTGCTCCTACTTGAGATGCCCTTGTTTATACATTCCAGGACTGCGTGGGTCTTTTGGTCCCAGTGTCGCACCCGGAGCTCACATTCAGCTGATTATCCACCATGACCCCCAAATCTGTTTTAGAGTCACTGCGCCCCAGGACAGAGTCCCCCACCCAGTAAAAAGTACAGCCGACATTCTTTGCTCCTAGGTGTATACATTTACACAGAGCCATATTAAAAGACATACGGTTTGCTTGCACCATTTACCAAGAAATCCGGAACGCTCTGAATCAGTGACCTGTCCTCTTCATTATTTTCCGCTCCCTCAATTTTTGTGTCATCTGCAAACTTTATCAGCTGATTTTTGTGTTTTCTTCCAAGTAACTGATAAAAATGTTAAAAAGCAAAGGCCAAGAACTGAGCCCTGGGGGACTCCACTGGAAACAAACCTGCTTGATGACGACTCCCCGTTTACAATCACCCTTACCGTTAATGCAGGGGACAGTGGAAACACCTTTAACCACAGAATCTTTGTTGGCCTGGCCTGGCCTGGCCTAGCAGAACTTAACACCCTTCCCAGAGTGCAGTTTGTGGGCAGCAGCAAAGGATTCTAGGGAAGCAGGAAAGTGAGCAAGAAAGAGATGGGGAGGAGACGGTGGCTTTTGGGATACAGGGAATAGAAGCTAGCACCAAGCTCTAGGTTGCCGGCCAGCCTTTCCTGACGGTGAGGAAATCCTATTCCAGCTCCCCAGAGTATCAATTCTGCAGGCGTCTCTACTGGGAGCTGTGCAGATTTCACCTTCAGAGCCCCTTCGGAATGAGAGTGAACTGTCAAGGGCCGGGCTTTCTGGGAAAGGACAGTATTAGGGAACTGTCGCCTCAGCGCACCTGAGACTCTGGGCTTACACTTGTGCTGCTGCTCACGCTGCCACGTCACCATTGCTATTTTTAGCTGAGCTAGCTAGATTAGAGCTAGCGCGGGTGTGTCAGCCCCGGCTGCCATCACACCTTTGCCCGCAGTGTAGACAAACTACCTGGTGCCCTGAATCCCCTTTGGCAGGATACCAATGGCTGTCACTTGGCTTCATTGGAAACCCAAGTGAGCTGCTGTGAACACAGGAATCTGGTGACTGGATTAATATCAAGGCCTTGTCTACACTGGGGTTTCAGCCACTGGCATAGCTGGACCTGTGCCACTCCTCATGTAGGCACACTACACCAGCACAGCATGATTCAAATTGGAGCAGGCTGCCCCATCTTCAACCATGTCTACACTAGCTGGTTGTACCAATGCAGCTCCACCTGTGGCTGAAATCCCTGGGCAGATGTGACCTTAAGTGAAAGGAAATCAGACAGATCAAAAGAATATATGCACACAAATCTGACATCAGGAATCATAACATTCAAAAACCAGTAGGAGAACACTTCAACCTCTCTGGTCACTCAGTAACAGACTTAAAGGTGGCAATTTTGCACCAGAAAAGCTTCAAAAACAGACTCCAACAAGAAACTGCTGAACTGGAATTAATTTGCAAACCAGATACCATTAACTTGGGCTTGAATAGAGACTGGGAATGGCTGAGTCATTACACAAATTGAATCTATTTCCCATGTTAAGTATCCTCACACCTTCTTGTCAACTGTCCAAAATGGGCCATCTTGATTATCACTACAAAAGTTTTTTTTCTCCTGCTGATAATAGCTCATCTTAATTAATTAGCCTGTTAGAGTTGGTATGGCAACTTCCACTTTTTATGTTCTCGGTGTGTATATCTATCTCCTCACTATATGTTCCATTCTATGCATCTGATGAAGTGGGCTGTAGCCCACGAAAGCTTATGCTCAAATAAATTTGTTAGTCTCTAAGGTGCCACAAGTACTCCTGTTCTTTTAGCCAGATCAATGTTTCTAGCACCCTTACTATTCTACCCTGCACCCGCATTTTCTGGTCTCCTTCTCTCCCCCCACCCCCATCTTCAAAGGAGACTGAAAGAGAGAGAGATTATGGAAAATGAGAGCAAGAGCTAACCGGCTGCTCTGTCTACATAGGACGACACGGGAGGGAGCAGTGATGGATGCAGAGGTCAGGATGTGGAGGCTGCCCGTGAGAAGTAGCTGCCCTCCTCCCTGCAATGCAGCTCATTTGGCTGTGGCACGGCTGGTACAAAAGCGTCCCAGAGCTCTGCAGCTGCTCCAGGTGAGCGCCAGCACATTCTGCAGGTTCCCATGCAGCAGGCCACAGTGTGCCCCAAGTTGTTGGGGAGTTACAATGAGCAC